TCAGTTGCAATCATTAGCTCCTCACAAAATATGAAGCAACTTGATTCATTCATAAACAAATAAATAAGCATGATTTTGAAGAAAAATGAACCAAATCAAACATCAGAAAACTTGCGTTTGTGGTTGTTTTTTAGAAGAAAAAAAAATAGGGTTTCAAATCAATGACTTAAATGTATAGGAAAACCCTAAAAGCATACAATATATGACAATTATTAACCACAAAAGTCGAAGAAAGAACTGAGAAACATGAAATATGTTCAACATAGTGTAATAAATAGGCAAAATTTGCTCAAACCTGCCTTGATCTACGACGAAGACAACAAAACGGTAAAGATCGGTGGTCAAATTGAGCGAAGACACCACTGAAAGCAAGGATCGGTCATTGTTTTCAGCCAAACAAGCACATAGTGTAGTGATAGGGAAAAATATAAACCTATCCTACCCTCGATAAGATTGATTAGATTTCATTATCAAGGATAATGAAATCAAATCTGACGTGGTTCAACAAGTAAGAATAATCCTACTATAACTAGAGGAGGTCAAAAGGATTAAATCATATCCCGACAAATCTGGTAATAAATCTCCTATAATTTCGCACAAGCGGAAGATAAGGTCAACCATCGATATCAGCGGAACGATTTTAATTCCAATCGATAGCCATAAATAGGGCATCAAGCCATTAAAGAAGATACGACGAAAAAACTATTATTAATCCCTGCCTTCTTTTTAGACTTCCGTGACTAATTTGATCGTCGGAGAGCTCTTGGCAGGCACCACACCGGTGCCGTCAAGGTTCATCGATCTTCTCCTCTCTTCCTTGCAGGAAAACGGTATTGTATCAGACTGCGCGAATTTCAGCCTCAACAGTTGGCGCCGTCTGTGGGAATCACGATTCCCTTGAATCAATTAATTACTCGTTGGGTATACACGTTTGCAGTCCGGTATGGTTGCAGTCCGGTATGGTTACCGAAGGAACACCGTCGCAGGGATCTGGTCAAAGGGTAGAGTCGGGTGAAAACCTGGACGTCCCAAACGACCAGGCACGGCTTGCAGCGTTGGAACTACAGGTTCAAACTCTGAGTCACGGAATGAACTAGTTGATCCAACAAAATGCAACGCTCTTGCAACACCTTGTTCCACCGGCTCAACACAACTTTCCAGGACAAGATCTCTTAAGTCCAAACGGAGGTAATGAAAATCTTGAAGAGAGGGATAATCATTCCCCCCAAAATAAGACTGAAGTGGAACAAAGCCAGGTGGGAACCCGACATAGAGAGGTGGTTCACTTATCTCTCCTACGGAGTTCCCGACCTCCTGAAAGCATAGCCTTCTGTCTTAAGGAAAAGACAAAGAAAGTTACCCATCTCGACTTGCAGATCAAGGATTTCAAGGGGAAAATGGAAGATGTAATGCAGGCTATGAAAGGGAAAGGTCCTGCCACCGTAGACGACCTGGTACAAAGGACCAACTTGCCTTTCAGCCCCGCCGTTATGAAATGTCCACTACCTAGCAAGTTCAGGATGCCCTTGTTCGAAAGCTTCGATGGGACCAAAGATCCCCTCGATCACCTAGAAACTTTTCAAGCTCTTATGCACACGTTGTGCCAGATGAAATCATGTGCCGAGCTTTTCCCACTACACTTAAGGGATCAGCGAGAGTTTGGTTCAACAAGTTGAAGTCAGGAACCATCAACACCTTCGAAGAATTGAGTAAGCTGTTTGTGAGCCACTTCATTGCAGGTCAGAGGCATAGGAGGCCGGCTATCTACCTGTTTACTATGGAGCAACAAAAGGAAGAGTCGATTCGGGAATACATCACCCGATTCAACGCAGAGATGTTGTAGGTAGAAGAGGCGGACGACAAGGTAGCTTTGACCGCTTTCATAGGAGGGCTCCAAACCTCCAGATTCTTGTTCTCCTTATCAAAAGAACCTCCCACCAGCATGATAGAGTTGCTAGTCAGAGCGCAAAAACACATCAACGCTGAAGACACCATGAGTGCACGGAAGGAAGGAGAGGACAAGAAGAGGCCAGCCCCTCTCGCCAGGGATGAAAATAATACCAAATATAAGAAATCGTTCTTCAGCCACAGTGACAGCACATATCATGAGAATGACTCAGATGAGTATACCGACTAGAAATTGTCTCACGGCTGGAATTAGCCTTATCAAGTCATTCACAATAAAGACTGGGGGCATCTTAGTTAATCATTTTAAATGGAGGGTAGCTCCATCACGTGTTATTTTGTTTTTAATAATGATGGTCTTTAATAAAATTCCTTTTAGTTTATACGTGCAGTATTCCCGTACTATAAGGGATAGTAAATGAGTGTCCTATATTACAAGGACCCGGGCTAAATGAATCCCGTAATCCGTATCCCCGTACATAAGGGATAGTAAATGAGTGTCCTGTATTACAAGGATTCGGGCTGAATGAATCCCGTAATCCGTATCCCCGTACTAAAAGGAGATAGTAAATGAGTGTCCTGTATTACAAGGACCCGGGCTGAATGAATCCTGTAATCCGTATCACCGTACTATAAGGGATAGTAAATGAGTGTCCTGTATTACAAGGACCCGGGCTGAATGAATCCCGTAATCCGTATCCCTATACTAAAAGGAGATAGTAAATGAGTGTCCTGTATTACAAGGACCCGGGCTGAATGAATCCCGTAATCCGTATCCCCGTACTATAAGGGAATAGTAAATGAGGGTCCTGTATTACAAGGACCCGGGTTGAATGAATCCCGTCATCCATATCCCTGGACTATAGGGGATAAGTATCTTGTATTATCAGGACCCGGGTTGAATGAATCCCGTAATCCATATTCCTGTAATATAAGGATAATAAATGAATGTCCTGGACTACAATGACCTGGGTTGGATGAATCCCATAATTAATATCCCCTTACAATAAGGGATAGTAAATAAAAATCCTTTATTAAAGAGGTGAGCTGAGTAAAACTCGTAAAGTTCAATTCCCTTACTAAAAGGACGAAACTCGTATAATTTATTCCCTTATAAAAGGAAAAGTACTGTTCCCTTGGGTAAAAAAAAAAAAACCCCGAGTTACTATTCACATGAATAGTGCCCGCGGGAATAGTACCCGCGGGTACTGTTCACCGGGGTTGGAAAAAAAAAAAAATTATTATTACTATTCATGAACAGTACCCGCGGGGGTACTGTTCATGCACAGTACCCGAGGGTTTGTTCCCTCGGGTGCAAAAAAAAAAAAAAAAAAAAACTATTCAGGAACAGTTCCCGAGGGTACTGTTCCCTCGGGTGCAAAAAAAAAAAAAAAAAAAAAAAATCCCTAAGTTACTATTTATGTGAATAGTACCCGCGGGTACTGTTCACAAGGGTATTAAAAAATATATATATATATATATATTCCCTAAGTTACTATTTATGTGAATAGTACCCGCGGGTACTGTTCACCGGGGTTGAAAAAAAAAAAAAAAAAAAAAAAAAAGAGAAAAAGAAAAAGTATTATTATTATTTATTACATTCCCAAAGCTAGACGTGCAAGCTTGGGAATGGGGGGTAACTGATAGGGAAAAATATAAACCTATCCTACCTTCGATAAGATTGATTAGATTTCATTATCAAGGATAATGAAATCAAATCTAACGTGATTCAATAAGTAAGAATAATCCTACTATAACTAGAGGAGGTCAAAAGGATTAAATCATATCCCGACAAATCTGGTAATAAATCTCCTATGATTTCGCACAAGCGGAAGATAAGGTCAACCATCGATATCAGCGGAACGATTTTGATTCCAATCGACAGCCATAAATAGGGCATCAAGCCATTAAAGAAGGTACGACGAAAAAACTATTATTAATCCCTGCCTTCTTTTTAGACCTCCGTGACTAATTTGATCGTCGGAGAGCTCTTGGCAGGCACCACACCGGTGCTGTCAAGGTTCATCGATCTTCTCCTCTCTTCCTTGCAGGAAAACGGTATCGTATCGGACTGCGCGAATTTCAGCCTCAACATGTAGAGTCGCCACAAAAGCGCCACAATCGCTTATATGACGACCTATTTTTAAGCCACAATCGCTTCAAATTCTCCGATTCCTGCCTTGTTCTTCGACCAAGACAACAAAAGAGCAAAGATCCGTGGTCAGTTTGGTGGATTTCAGCCAAACAAGCAGACACAGCAGAGTCGCCACAAAATCGCCTCTGCTGGAGCTTTTTAGAAAACCCTATAAAATGACTGAAATATTTTAAGCGTGGTTTATATACGTGTTGCAAGTCTGGTTTAAGTGAGTTTTTACTTCCTCCGCTACAGTGATTATTTGGGCCAACAGTACCCAAAACACGGTAAAACACCAAAATGGTGTTTCAACATTTGGCCTAAAAATTGAATCTGTTTTGACACTATTGGCAACAAAGCAGACCAAACCAAACATGTTTTCGGTTAAAAAATTACTACTGTAGCAAGCCTGCAACAAAAACACATGAAGTAAAACAGATACCAAACAGGGCCTATATGTGTGTATATTTTCAAGAAATGAGGACTATATATATCTGCAAAAGTCTCATCTCACTCTCTCTCGACAACACTTCACAACTCAACAAAACCCCAATCTCTCTTTTCTCTCCCCTCTTCTTCTCTTCCTCTCCAGAAAACCCCATTCTGGTAACCGATTACTTGATTGATAGACACAAATTTTCTGCTGAAACTACTTCGAAAGTCTCTTCCGTCATAAAGTATATGAAAAAGCCTGAAGAGACCGATTCGATTTTGTCATTTCTCAAGGAAAGTGGTTTTTCGGATACCAATCTCGAGCGTGTCATGAAACACGCGCTTCAAGTTTTCTCTGCAAATCTTGAGCGCTCCATCAAACCCAAATTCAAGTTTTTTCAAGACTTGGGGTTTTTCTTCTAGCAATGTTGTGGAAATTGTTTCGTTGGACCCACGGATTCTAACTAGTAAAGTTGATAGTTAGCTTGGCCCATCGATTTTAGCATTGAAGAGTGTTTTGGGTTCGAATATGGATGATGTGTCTAGGGTTTTAAAGAGATCTGGGAAGCTTTTAACGTATGATTTGGGGAAAACTATGATACCCAATATTGAATTTATGAAAAGTTATGGTATTAGTTCATCGCAAATAATCCACCATATCCGTAAATCCCCAAGATTATTCTTGCATAAACCAACGATTATTAGAGAATATGTGAAGAGGGTTGATGAGATGGGCTTTGACAGGAAGTCTAAGATGTTTCTTTGTGTGATTCGGACTATTAGTTCGATGACTATAGAGAATTGGGAGTTGAAATTGGAGGTCTTTAAGAGTTTGGGATTTTCGGAAGATGACATTTTGTCCGCTTTTAGGAGACAACCTCAGGTTTTTGCTGGGTCAGAAAGGAAAATTAATGTGACAACACAGCTTTTGCTTAGCACGGGCAAATGTGATATCTCATATATTGTTAATAACACAGAATTACTTACTTACAGTGTTGAGAATAGGCTTAAGCCACGGCTAAGAGTTCTGGAGGCTTGGGAAAGCAGGAATTTGCTTCTTAAAGAGCCTAGTTTGACGACTGTATGTGCGATTACTGATAAGAAGTTCTTGCAGAAATATGCACTCCCATATTCAAAAGAAGTTGGCCAATTATTTGTGGTGAACAAGCTCTCGTTGAAAGCATAAATATGTGCTTAAGATCATAACATCTTTTAGGACTAAATGATTTAATACTTGGCGGCATAGCATGGCAGGTAAGTAGGTACTATTTTCTTCTATCCATATCGTGTACCACTGAGAAAAACATAAATTAATTTTCCAGCTGGCTGTATAATTTCAAAGGTGTTGAAATATATCCTTAATTTAACTTTCTTCTTTTTTCTTTTTTCAAATTTTCAATTGAGGCATCATGTTGAATAATCCTGATAGGTTATAGATAATGGCCATGATATTATTCTTCACATATAATTTTGTCATTGTGTAGAATTGTATGCTATTATAAGTTTTGTTTATCATGTACATTGGTACTTACAGTAGCCATGTATGTCTGTAAGGATCTACCAATATAACCATGATTTGGGGAAGTAAGGTGCTGCTTCTTATTAGTTCAGCAGTAGGATAAATCCAACAAAAGGGAGACTAGAGAACCTCCTCACACAGAAAATGTGACAAAACCCCCTTTTTAAGTGGAATATTTGATGTGAGAAATTGGTTGAAATTGAATTTTAAGGTTTTGTATTTTTTTACTATTATATATTATAGTTTGTGGTGACGGTGATAAAACGAATTGCAAGTTGAACCTAATTTGACAAACAAAATGGGCAAAATTTTAGCTATTCTTTCATTCAATCTGGTGAAAAAAAGCCTACTTCGTCAAGATTTATTATGGTAAGTTACACTGTCAATGAAATGGAAACATACATTTTTCATTTAATTTGTCTTAAATACTTGTGTATGCAGTGGTTTCAACCAGTCCATTTGACCACACCAAAACTCAATCTTACCAGTTCCCAAATTATTTATTATTCTAACATTTTAATTTGGAAGGTACTGAATTCTACAAACTAAATGTCAAATGCAGTCCCATGGTTTGCCATAATTACAGGGACCTCCCATCGGGTTTGGGAAATTACGCGGATCTCCCCTAAGAATAAAAATAATTTACACGGACCTCCCTTTTGTTAGAGTCAACGACAGAAATTGATGACGTCAGCTACTATTTTTACTAAAATTCCTAAAATACCCTTGGCTATATAATTTTATATTATAAAAGATATATATATCTATAATATTATTAAATGTGCATAGTGTTTCAGTATTTATTTATTTATATAAAAAAAATTAATGGATATAAAAATAGTTTTTGAAAAAATAATTTCTATAAAACTCTAAAAATTACCTAATAAAATCAATAACATTCCATATAAAACTCTTATTTTTAGTTCAATATAAAAAGAATAGTTATTTTTTATGGATAATTATCACGATATAACGCACCCGGCCAGTTATGATTATGTCATTATCAGAAAAGGACACATGTCATCATCCTATTAATCCAAAAAGCCAATAAATAGAGGCATGGAAGGAGGAAGAGGTACAGAAATTGAGAATTCTATAAATCCAAAATTTCGGCATGGAAGGAGGAAGAGGTACAGAAATTGAGAATTCTATAAATCCAAAATTCTAGAATAAAATACAGTATTTTATTTTTTATTTATTTGTATAAAAAAATATTTATTAATTAATATAAAAAGAATTTTTATCTATACTATTATTAGATGTGCAAAGAGTTTCAGTATCTAAGTATTTATTTATTTATACAAAAAAATATTTATTAATTGATATGAAAAGAGTTTTTATATTAAAAAAAAAAACTCTATAAAACACTAAAATCTACATTAAAAATTTAAATTAACCTATTTATCTATTTATTATTATGAATTTTTTAATAAAAAAATCTAATTAGACAAGAATTATTAATATAAAAAATATTTATTAATTGATATATGAAATAAATTAATTTTTCTAAAACTCAACCACAAATTAGCTTTTAATATAAGTTTCTAAATAAAATTAAATCTAATTAGACAAAGATATATTTAAAGAAAATAAAATAATTTCTATAAAACTCTATCACAAATTACCTATTTTATTTTCAATAAAACACTATCACACCAGACAAAAATATATTTAAAGAGTTTCGATAAAACTTTATCGCAAATTACCGATTTATTTATTTATTATGAGTTTTTTTAATAAAAGGAAATCTAATTAGACAAGTATAATTAATATAAAAATTATTTATTAATTGATATAAAAAGAGGTTTTAAAAAAGTTTCTATAAAACTCTAACACAAATTACTTATTTATCTATTTATTATGAGTTTTTTTTTAATAAAAGTAAATCTAATTAGAGAAAAAATATTAAAATAAAAAATATTTATTAATTGATATAAAAAGTTTTTTAAAGAGTTTATATTAAACTCTAACACAAATTACCTATTTATTTAGTTATTATAAGTTTTTTAATAAAAGAAAATCTAATTAGACAAGAATTATTAATATAAAAAATATTTTTTAATTAATATAAAAAATAAAATAATTTGTCTAATCCTCTACCACAAATTACCTTTTATTATGAGTTTTTTTTTTTTTTTTTTAATAAAAGCTAATCTAATTAGACAAGAATTATTAAATTAAAAAATATTTATTATTTCATATAAAAAGAGTTTTAAAAATATTTTCTATAAAACTCTAACACGTATTATCTATTTATTATGAGTTTTTTTTAATAAAAAAAATATAATTAAACAATAATATATTTCAAGAAAATAAAAATTTTCTATAAAATCTATCACAAATTAGCTAACTCTAAAATCTACCAAATAAATTCAAATTAACCTATTTAACTATTTATTATTATGAATATTTTAACAAAAAAAATCTAATTAGGCTAGAATTATTTATATAAAAAATATTTATTAATTGATACATAAAATAAATTAATTTTTCTAAAACTTTTCCACAATTTAGCTTTTATTACGAGTTTCTTAATAAAATGAAATCAAATTAGAAAAGGATATATTTAAAGAAAATAAAATAATTTCTATAAAAACCTATCACAAATTACCTATTTTTTAAAAAAAACTCTACCATAAATTAGCATTATTATGAGTTTTTAATAAAAAGAAATCTAATTAGACAAATATTATGAATATAGAAAATTATTTATCAATTAATATAAAAAGAGGTTTTCAAGGAGTTTTTATGAAACTCTAACACAAATTACCTATTTATCTATTTTTAATGAGTTTTTAACAAAAAGAAATCTAATTAGACAAGAATTATTAATATAAAAAATATTTATTAATTGATATAAAATGAGTTTTTAAAAGAGTTTCTATTAAACTCTAACACAAATTACCTATTTATTATAAAATATTTATTAATTGATATAAAGAGAGAAAATTAGAGGGGCATAGACCCAGAATTACAAAAGAGTTTCAGTATTTATTTATTTATATAAAAATTATTTATTAAATGCGCAAAGAGTTTCAGTATTTTAGTATTTATTTATTTGTCTAAAAAATATTTAGTAATTGATATGAAAAGAGTTTTTTTTTTTTTAAAAAAAAAAAAAAAAAAAAATCTACCTAATAAAATTCAAAGTAATCTATTTATCTATTTATTATTATGAATTTTTTAATAGAAGAAAATCTAAAGTTTCAGTATTTATTTATTTATATAAAAATTATTTATTAAATGTGCAATGAATTTCAGTATTTATTTATTTATATAAAAAATATTTATTAATTGATATGAAAAGAGTTTTGAAAAAAAAAACCCTCTATAAAACTCTAAAATCTACCTAATAAAATTCAAATTAACCTAATTATCTATTTATTTTTACTACTTGCATGAGCAGGTAGTCTGTTGTTATGCTGTATACTAGCTGTTTACTTTTATGTCTTGTTTTGACATTGCATGTTGTTCCAGCTTGGTTGGTAGAGATTAATGCCAGGGCATTGTCTCTTGGGGTTTGTCGTATCCCTTGGATATATTCTTGTTTTGCAGAGTTTCTTCCTTGGATAGGAGAAATCTATTCTGTAAGGAACCCACGACGGGAACCTTCTTGTCCTTTTTATCGGTTTGGTTGTTTCGAGACCTTAGTCTGACGGTTGATATGAGTAAGGCTCATGTGAGCGTAGAATCGCAGTCTTTGTCTGGTCGAATGAGACGCAGGTCTAGGAGGCGCCGTTTCATTTCCTTTTTCCTTCGTGGCTTTACGACGTGGTCGGGAAGCGTCCGGGGTGTTGGTTTCGTGGTGACCTCGATGTGATGACGTCATTGGGGTCTTGTTTCTAGTGTCATGGGATGATGAGTTTGGGTCGACTCCAATCCTTCCTTGGGAAATTGGGAGGTTTGTCTTCGTGAGCCTCACGGCGAGGTTCTTGCATTTTGCCTTCTTAGGGTGATGGTTTCGGAATTTGGATAGGTGTGTTGACCTAGGATCTTTCTTGTGTTGCCTCGGATAGCTCTTACGAGCTACTATTGGGGTGTGAGTGGTTTCGTGTAATTAATTGCATCCTTGTCATTTAAGACTTAGGGTAGTGTCTTAGGGTTCCGATAGAATTCTGTCCAGTTCTCATCGAACTCATTGCATCTTGAGTTGAGTTCTCTGTTGGTGTCTTGTAATGGCTAGTGTTGGAACTATCTATTGCGTCGTTGTTTTGTTTTGTGTGGCGTTAGGATTTCATCTTGGGTTTGAGTTAGTCTTGGGGAAGACTTGTGGACTCTTTGTTTTGGGAACCTTAGTGTTCATTCAAGGAGATGATTCATTTCCTCACGGTGAGAGATTGGACCCATACGGGTTTTTGGGATTCACTTTCAGTGAGTTCGTCCTTTTGAGAGGCATTTCATCCCTTCTTGCTTTTGACCTGTGGGATTGTTATTTGCATAGTCCTTTCTTCATGTTTGTATGCCTTGTTGTTTTGAGCATGCCTTATAAACATGTTTAGGATACATGACTACCTGGTAGTTATGTGATAATATAGATAATGTGTTTTTCATTTACTATATCTGTTTAGCATGCTAGCGTCATAGACAATGTGTAGCGTGTCCTTGATGCTTGACCCCTATTTGATAAGTAGCATTTTTTATTACCCTAGTACACTATGTGTTTAGTTATATGATGTGATCTGCTATATATGATGTGATTTTATGAGTCATGACATGATCGTCTTATATATGTATGTCTTATAACTACTTATTTTTATATAGTTTATGTTTTTTTTTCCATTCCTATTCTATGCCTAGGGTTGTGTGACCTTTGTTGTCGAGATTGTGTGTGTGAGCTTGATCCGGTGTCTGGATTCCTAGGCGTAGCCTTGTAGTAGGTCAGCCTTAGGACGACGTGGAGGATTTTGGGTTATTTACCTTGTTGGGAGTCGTTGTGACTAGGACGGTGGTGATGTTGTTTGATTTCGTAAAGTCCGATCCATTGGCTTAAGGGCACAGACTTGTCAGGCTTTGTATTCGTGACTAGTGTTGTTGACAACGGTGTTTTGAATCTTGGGCTTGTCAGTTTTCTAGTATTGAGGATTTGAGGACTTAAGCATAGCGGTACCTATGGCATTGTTGTCAGAGTTTTGGGATTGGCCAGGATGGTTTGGCTGGACATCTTTGGACCGTATCTCAACTCTCACAAAATGTCTGGTCTCCGTGGTGCTTTTGGTAATGATCGTTTTTTACATTGATGTCATTTGTATCGGTAGGTTTCATGGGTAAGCTTGTTTGGGGCAGGTGATGAATTAGGGTTTTATACTGTCATGCTATAGTACAAGTTGTGTGTGGTGGGCGAGTGCTAGTTGCCGTCGATGCCATCTTGCATTACCTAACTAGTAATGTAAGTGTGGGCGGGCACTAAACGCTGTCGATGCTACCGCACCTTGAGTACGTTGTGGGCGGGTTCTAGTCGCTATTCGTACTGCCATGTTGCTTCTGGTCGTGTTTCTGGTTTCAATGTGTTGTTGCCTTGGTCTCCTTGGGTCATTGACATTGGGTTGTATGTCAATTTGTTAGGAGGAGTTGTCTTTCGGTTACATATCTCCTTATGGTCAGAGGCTTCTGGAGTTGTTCTCTAGTGTTTTATGATTTCTTTCTCGGTGTGACCTTGTGTTCGGTCCTTTTTCGGTTCTTCTAGTGATGTTCCAAATTTCGGGGACGAAATTTCCTTAAGAAGGGTAAGTTGTAATGACCCGGTCATTTTCCTTCCTTTCCTTTTTCTCAGATTTTTACAGATAAATTTTTTTAGTTGAATTTTCTTTTCTGAGTTCGGTTACTCATCACTTAGTGTCGTCTTGAGTGCTCGGAAATGGTTTCTGAGACTCTTTCCTTCGGATTGACAATTTCCTTAAAAGACTGCGTTTTTTTTTTTCTTCAGTTTTTTCGTTTTTCGACACTATACACTTTTTGTCTTTCTCTCAATTTGTCACTTTGTTGGCGTAACCTCACTTTTCGTGTTCGGAGTTGAGTTTTGACTTCACGAGTTTTCATTCCAGTTGATTTCCTCGAAATGCATAACTTTACTTTTGGAGAAAAGCTCGCCCTCCCGCAGGGGCGTGGATGAAAGGTTTTTTCAGAAATATTGATGTTTCTTAGGGTATTTTTCATAAATATATTTTAAGGATATTTTATTTCAGGGGTTTTTAAGAAAATATTATTTTTATTCTGAGTAATTTTGTAGTTATCCCTTTTTGTAGGGGCCATTGTGCAATTAACAAAAGTTATTACAAAATGCCTCGTTTTGAGCCTAGATTCTGTACGGGATTCATTTTCACTTTTCGTCGAGTCGTGTATTCTTAGGATTGTCTTCTGGTTATTCCTTGCAGTTTTCGGGGGCCCTGGTTGCCACCGAACTTGTTCGGGGCATATCTCTCTGCACGGAACTCAGTTTTCAATACCGTTTTATCCGTTGCTCTTTTTTTTTTCCGGTTCTTTTTCATTCACGGTGTTTTACCTTTTGAGCACGTATGCATAAATTCCACCTTTTCAAACCCGTTGGGACCCATTCGAGGCACTTTTTGAGATTTTCTATAAATGGGTTTGAGAGCAAAGAAGCTTTCACTGTGTGTCCGTGAATGGCTATGTCGAGACCCAATTTCATGGGGTTTGAAGCTTTTCGCTACAGTTTAGTTCATATTGCTTCAGTCTTGGAACAGTTTCATGGAGCTTCGAGAGACCTAGTTCATCACCAGTGCATCAAGACCCAGGTTCATGTGGTTTGTTGGGTCTTATGGGTATGGGTGCTTGCCTGGTGGTTGTGGTTTTGAGGTGGAGAATGAGGTTTGATAGGGGCATTTTTGGAAGAGTAAAAAGGTAAAATGGGCATTATATTAATTGGGGGGTGTTTTTGCACAAATTAAAAAAAATAGGGGTATTTTTTACACCTTTTTAAATAAGGGATAAAAATGTTATGAAAAGTTTACACATATTCCAAAAAAGAAATATATTATGTATACACAATATAAAGGACAAGCTCAAAAGAGGCTTTGGTTGTTCCGGGTGTGAAGAAGGTCACGTGTGAATAGGTTTTTTATTTTCTATTTTGAACTTTTGTATGTCCATGTATTAGTAGTACAAAAATTAAATTGCAATGATAAAGCAGGTGTGGTGATAAAAAAAAAAAAAACAAAAGAGAGAAAAAGAAAAAAAGAAATTGGTTTAGATCCAAGCCACAATAGTGAAACCTAGTCATTACAGGCGTTTCCCATTATTAGTTGTGATCAATTTGTTTGAAATTATCAATTTAGGCCAAAAGTGCAATTGCGCGCAACATTACATCCTATCCTTTGTTAGCTAGGTATATATATATATATATATATTATATGGGTTGGTAATTCTTAGGTGGTAGGCAACTTGACATTAAGAGATTAATTAAATTTAACCCACACACAACAATTTTCCCATATAACAAGACCCCAAGTGAAAATTAGAAGTAAAAATAAGTTGGATGTTGTCGTTCTTTTAGAAGATTTGTGTGTATTGATGATAAAAATTTTGATACCTATTTGGCCTTAACATCCATTAGCTATTGTTAGAAATTTTAAAAGTCCCCTTAACATCCATTAGCTTTTCTTCTCTATCCGCCTCGAATTCTTTATCAAGAACTTGACAATACTTGATTTTTTCTTTTCTCCTCTTTTCTATTAGTCTCAAAGCCTTTACTTGAGGGTGAGAGTTAAAGACCCCAAACCACTGGGACAAAAGAAGACTGGTAAAAAAATGTATGTTTTTTTCTTTTTTAACCAAGAAGCTATCAATTTGACCTAGATCTTATAAGGTTGCCACAATTACCCCTTAGGAACTTAAGGTCCTCGTGGGCCACACTTTTGGTTAGGCTCCAACTTTGATACCATTTGTAATGGCCCATTCTACCACATGGTATGATACTATGTGCTTTGAGTCTAAACTTGCATGATTTTGTTATTGAATTTTTACTCAAAAAAAACTTCATACCATTTGGAGATAATATCAACATATATAAATACTTCACTTTCACCCAAGAATGACTTAAATGCAGCAGTCCTAATGATCACATTCAATGCTATTAAACTAGTGGTCTTCATAAATAATTAATTGCAACAAGTAAAACACTTTCATACTGATGGGTTCTACTTTAATGTATGATGCACCATATATGATGATTTTATTCGTAAGATTAGTGCATATCATATCATATAAAAGGAGATTGAATATCCTCCTATTCTCTGCATCATTCAGTTTATAAAAATGACGTAGTTTAAATCGAGTGCACAAAAAATTGGTGGAACTCAAGAACCGATTAGAACCGAACCTGTGCTTCGGTTCCGATTCCTCACTAGTCCGGTTCTAGTTCAAATTTTGTGGAACTGTTGAATAACGGTTCATTTTTAATTCCAAACCCTTTGAAACCGAACCAAACCGAACCGGATGTATTATTTTTTAAATTATATAATTACAATGAATAATGATTAAGGGATACTGATATCCCTCCCATACTGAATGTTCCATCCTCATTTGGGCTTGTTATTAGGCTTTTATACACATATAGGCCTAGTTTGGATCCATCCTTGTATTTATGTCATTGCTTTTTTATTAGCCTCCAGTTTAGGCTTCTGGCTAATTAGCCCAATCCACACTTTTTGCCGACTAAGAGGATCCATATATGCTTAATTGTGGAGGCAGCGTTCGGGTTTACCTAATCGGTCCATATTTATCCAAACCTCCTTCTTTAAACTTCGTGCCGTTGTAGAGCGAGAGAGGTTGATGGGCCTAATTATTACTTGGCCCATTGAGCTTTGCTACTTACACCCAGTCAGCTAAAGGCCCAATAATTTCTTTTTTATTTGGAAATGAGCCTAAACTGGAGAGCTCGACCTAGGTTTAGGGCACACTGTGCTTTGAGAATCAGAGAGAGAGATCACTGCAAATCGACGAAGCTCCCCACTTTACAGGCAAGTACTCATCTCTACACTCTTCGCTTTGATTGATAGCATATTATATGTGTGTGCATCTTCAAGAAATGAGGACTATTTATATCTGCAAAAGTCTCATCTCACTCTCTCTCAACAACACTTCACATCTCAACAAAACCCCAATCTCTCTTCTCTCTCAACTCTTCATCTCTTCCTCTCCAGAAACCCCCATTGCGGTGGCCGATTACTTGATTGATAGACACAAATTTTCTGCTGAAACTGCTTCGAAAGTCTCTTCCGCCGTAAAGTATGTGAAAAGGCCCGAAAAGACCGATTCCATTCTTTCATTTCTCCAGGAAAGTGGTTTTGCGGATACCCATCTCGAGCTTCTCATCAAACGCATGCCTAGAGTTCTCTCCGCAAATCTTGAGCGCTCCATCAAACCCAAATTCAAGTTTTTTCAAGACTTGGGTTTTTCTTCTAGCGATGTTGTGAAAATGGTTTCGTCTCACCCACGGATTCTAGCTAGTAGCGTTGATAATCGGCTTGGCCCGTCAATTTTAGCATTGAAGAGTGTTTTGGGTTCAAATATGGATGTGCCTATGGTTTTAAAGAAATGTGGGAGGCTTTTGGGGCATGATTTGGCGAAAACTGTTATACCCAATATTGAATTTATGAAGAGTTGTGGTATTAGTTCGTCGCAAATAACCCACCATGTCTGTAATTTCGCAAGATTATTCTTGCGTAAACCGACGAGTATTAGAGAATATGTCAAGAGGGTTGATGAGATGGGTTTTAACAGGAAATCTAAGTTGTTTATTGAAGCGATTCGGGTTATTAGTTCTATGACTAAAGAGAATTGGGAGTTGAAATTGGAGGTGTTTAAGAGTTTGGGGTTTTCGGAAGATGACATTTTGTCAGTTTTTAGGACACAGCCTCAGGCTTTTCGTAAGTCAGAGAGGAAAATTAGGGCGATAACTCAGCTTTTGCTTAGCACGGGCAAATGTGATATCTCATTTGTTGTTAAAAACCCAGAATTTCTTGGTTACAGTGTTGAGAATAGGCTTAAGCCACGGTTAAGAGTTGTGGAGGTATTGGAAAGCAGGAATTTGCTTCTTAAAAAGCCTAGTTTGGCAAATGTATGCAAGATGAGTAATAAGAAGTTCTTTGAGAAATATGTACTCCCATTTTCAAATGAAGTTGGCCAATTATTTGTGGTTAACAAGCCCCCTCATTGAATGCATAAATATGTGCTTAAGATCATGACATCTTTTGGGACTAAATGATTTAATGCTTGGCGGCATAGCATGGCAGGTAAGTAGTCACTATGTTCTTCTATCCACATGGTGTACTACTGAGAATAACATAGATTAATTTTCCAGCTGCCTGTATAATTTCAAATGTGTTGAAATATATCCTTAATTTAACATTTCTTTTTTCTTTTTTCAAAATTTCAATTGAGGCATCATGTTGAATAATCCTAATAGGTATTATATCTTGCTCAAGCTTTCTCATTTTGTGTGAGGCAATGATAATGGCCGTGATTTTATCCTTCACATATAATTTGTTATTGTGTAGAATTGTATGCTATTATAAGTTTTGTAACATTGGTACTTACAGTAGTCATGTATGTCTATAAGAATTATTAATTGTTAATGACATCCCTTTTTGTCCATAATAAATGATGATATGCAGGGGCATTAAAGTATTTTTCTTCAAAGTTTAGATCTTTCTCAAATTGTTAAATAGTCATGAACCATGAGTCATTTGGTGATTCAATTAATCAATTGTAATGAAACCCTTTCTCTATAGTAGTGATCTTTATTCCGCCATTGTTAACTCATGATTATGGATAGATATTCTAAAGGGGAAATTTGAATTTAGTGATCAAACCTAAACAATATTATTCTAGGATGACATCAAAGTCAAGAATAGGTGAATAGTCACTAAAATTAAAACTTAAATGCTAAAAAAGTAATAAGTGACTATGTAATGAAAAATTATATAAATATCCTTCTTATAATAAAATATTTTATAATTAGACAAATCCACTATTTCGTTTCTTGACTATCTTTTTTTCTTTTTTTAAGTTTAGTCCAAAACTCCATTGATTATGGTTTCAGAGACAATAGGCTCACAACGGGCCTGCTTATATATATTCCATGAGCTAATCAAATTAGATCAAACATTAGGCCCACAACTCTACACTTTGAGTGATCCCCTCTCCCGTTATTCAAATTTTCATAGTTCCATTAATGTGGAGAGGGTTGAAGTTAGATAAAACAACCATAAAGAAGTCTCTTTTATTTTTTTTTTATATTTTTCGGTCAACTGCAAACTGTAAAAAGAAGAATTAATAAGGAAGGAGACAGAGGAGGATGACCCCAAAAGAGTTATAAGGGGCAATTTACTTCGCTTCGAACAAATTTACAAATTTTGATAAACAATCAAGTATTTTTGACTAAATTAATATCATTTAGTCACTTATTTGTAATTAAGTTTTAAATTTGATCACTATTCATCTTTTCATGAGTTTAAGGTCACTATAAAGCAATTTTGGTCACCAAAATCTAATTTTTCCTATTCTAAAATCCATGATAATTGTTCTATTTTTATTTACTCTATATTATTTCCGCGTATTAGTTGTTTTTTTTAATTTAACAATTAAAAGGATTATTTTTATTTACTCTATATTATTGCAGAGTGAGTGCAGCAGGCTACATGATAGGGTTTGGACCATAAATTTCTTCCACTACCACTGCACCTGCTAGATTCCCACCAATACCTTCAATTATATATGTTGTCATTAATTTGCCAGCTAAGGTTAGCATTTTTGTACTCTGCCACACCATTATTTGCAAGCATACTTATCGTAACTACTAGGACAAAAGAAGACAGGAAAAAAAAAATGTATATTTTTTCCTTTTTAACCAAGGAGCTATCAATTTGACCTGGATCATACAAGGTTGCTACAATTATCCCCTTAGGGACTTAAGGTCCTCGTGGGCCACACTTTTGGTTAGGGTCCGGCTTTGATACCACATGGTATGATATCATGTGCTTTGAGTCCAAGCCTGCATGATTTTGTTATTAGGTTTTTTACCAGAAAGACTTGGTACCATTTGGAGATACCACTAACAGATTTTGTTATTCGATTCCAGTTCCTCACTAGTCCGGTTCTAGTTCAAATTTTGTGAAATTGTTGAGTAACTATTTGTTTTCGGTTTCAGACCCTTTGAAACTTCGCATGTGGTTAGGTTTTTTATTTTTTATTTCGATCTCATGACCTATGTATGTCCATATATTAGTGGTACAAAAATTAAATTGCAATGATAAAACAGGTGTGGTGATAATTCAATTATGAAAAAAAAAAAAAAAAAAACAGGTGTGGTGATAATTTTTCGGGATAAAATAAAAATAATAATAATAAAAATAATAATAATAATAATAATAATAATAATAAAAAGGAGTTTTTTCCAAGCCACAATAGTGAAACCTAGTTATTACAGGCGTTTCCCATCATTACATGTGATCAATATGTTAGTAATTATCAATTCAGGCCAAAAGAGCAATTGGGCGCAACATTACATCCTATCTTGTTGTTAGCTAGGTATATATATATAATATGGGTTGGTAATTCTTAGGTGGTAGGGAACTTGACATTAAGAGATTAATTAAATTTAACCCCCAAAAACAATATTCCCATCTGCTTTTGATGATTACATTGGTAAAATGAAGTGTTTTAACTAATAAAATGATTTATTTTAGAATTTTACTTTTAATTTTAAATGAATTAAGTAAAATTTATCTATGTATGTCCATATATTAGTAATACAAAAATTAAATTGCAATGATAAAACAGGAGTGGTGATAATTAGTTATTAAAAAAAAGAAAAAAATAAAGAGACAGGATTTAGGTCCAAGCCACAACTAGTCATTACAGGCGTTTCCCATCATTACTTGTGATCAATTTGTTAGAAATTATCAATTCAGGCCAAATGAGCAATTGGGCGCAACATTAAATCCTATCCTTTTGTTAGCTAGGTAAATATATCTATTTACCCTATAAAAGTATATTCTATTTATATTTTTTATATACACTTTTTGGTAATAATATATAAGCGTCAATTTTTAAAAGCACAGTTTCTCACATTGCTTAAGACACCGTCAGTTTTATTTTTAGAATTTTTAAAAAACAAAAAACCCTATTTCTTCTACAAGGTTTGAAATCCAACATTACTTTTTTATTATACATTGTCGACTTCATTTTTTAGTTTTTTTCTTTTAAATTGTATAAGGGTCGGATTAACAGTTTTTACTCTCTTCTTTGGAAACTCAATTGAAAATTATATCAACCAAAAAAAGCAATAAGTTTTTTTAGGGTTCTATATGTGGCCTTGTCTATCTAACAAATAATTGTATTTGCAGATTTAAAGTCCACAGAATGTCCAAAAAAAGTACATCAAAAATTGTTGCACCAACATTGGAGCCTCTTGTAGAACAAGGGAGTCCCTCATCTACACTCAAAAGGCCTATACAACTGGCGAAATTCTCTTTTATATATTAAAAAAAAAAAATGATAATGTTTTTAATGAGTCACAATTTTTGAATTGATATAAAATAATATTAAAAAATCTAAGTATATATATAACTTTTGAGAAAATATATCACTACTCTAAGATTTAGACTAGAGATGGAGTCAATCTCTCTTCTTTTTTTCTTTTTTTCTTTTTTTTTTTTTTCAAATGACGATGGAGTCAATCTCTATTTTGCAAGATCTCCTAATTAACAAGAATTCTTCTTGGACTTGATGTTAATTGAAAACTAATACTTATTATGATGAGTCGTGTAATATTTATTCAAAGAGTTTGACTCTCACTCAAAATACAATTAAATATTTATATAACCTTTTCTTTTTTAAACGTGTCTCTCCACTTCCAACTATATTATTTAGTTTCCTCTCTTCTTAACTCTAAACTAATAAATTTTAAAATTTTATCATGGAAAATCATGAAATTTTTTAATTTATTTTTGTAAAATAGTTATTCTTTTTCTAATTATTTAATTTAAAATTAAAAAAAGAATGTTCCTAACTGTTTCAGCTTGTACCCAACAATGTGCTCTTTGGAAAAAGACTATGTTCTCATTTGCCGGTTGCCAAGAAGTTTTTGTCCTTTAAAAATCTGTAAATGGTAATACAATTATTTAGAAAAAATGAAAATATTAAAGATAAATATATTTATATGATACCGTCAATTTTACTTTTAGAATTTTTAAAAAAGAAAACAGTTTCCTTAATTTACACTTTTTGGTAATAATAACAATATATATTGAAAGGGTTGTTTCCGTTAAAAACGTATATGTTGCTTTCGATTACCCAATTTTCTCATTACATACGTGCTTAATACTACGACGTTAGTTTTATTTTAAGAATATTTCAGAAAACAAAATAATTTTCCTTTTTGTTTCTCTTCTTTTTTAAAAAAAAATAAATAAATAAATACTTCATGTTTTTCCATAGATTCGAAACAATAGCAATCAAATTGACACGTCTTCTTCTGAAGAACATTATATAATCCGCAGATTGGATCTTGCCTCTCTCATTCTACCTCTCTCACTTTTTCTACCCATCTTTCTTTCAACATTTACCATTTAACTCTATTTCAAAGCATACCCAGAAAGTCAATATTTTTGGTTGAAGCCCATAACTCAAGGCCTATGTTTTAGCTAAAGGTATGTTTCAATATGTATTTTGTGTTATTTATATTTTTGTTTTTGAGGAAACAGTGTTAAAAAAAGTTTTTCCTATTTTGTTTCTTAATTATCTGAAGTTTGTTGTCCATAATCCAAATTCATCATGGTGTTCTCATTCTCTTGTTGTGCTAATATGCTTATTGTTTAATATGTGTGTGTATATATATGCTATACTATCTGAAGAATACAGATCATGAATTCCCTATCATGTATGCCCTCGGTTAAGAGTTCTACTTTTATATATATATATATATCGCTTGAACAAGAATGAGAGACAAATTTCCTTTTTTTTCAAAAAAAAAAAAAAAGGGAAGATAAAAACAACTGGTAGTTTTAAAGTACAATTGATTCCTTGTTCATTTCTAAACCTTGAGGTAGATTATACTATAAAATACAATTGATTTAATTAAAAATCATTTTAATATATATGACTTTTCATTAGAGTTGTCTTAAAGAGTTGTTGAACACTTTTTTCCTTTTCTTTTCTTTTTTATAATACACTATAGTTTTATATATTTAATTTAAAACCAAGAGATGTTGGACATAAATTTTCATTTTAAAAGAAAAATAACCTTATTTTTTTAATTAATTCATTGTTCCTTTCTAAACCTTCATGTCATCAGACGAACTCTCTTTATCTTTTCTTAAAACCATTTTTATATTCCTCCAAAATCTAAATAAAGTCTAACAAGATGCAGTTGAAATCGTTGTTATAATTGAAAGGTACAAATTGTATAAAAAGTCAATGTTAATTATTTATATTATTGATTTCTTATTTACTTATCAAAAAATATATATATTATTGATTTCTTATTTAAATTTTTTTTTAAGTATTATTGATTTCTTGTTACTATATATTTGTGTGCTTATAAGAAGCATTCACTTTTCTTGATATATAAAATATAAATAACTTCAAAAAACCCTAAATGTTAATCAATTTAGTAGATGTTGTTAGCCTGTTGAGTGATACTGTAATACTATCATGATGTATCATGTTTTTCTTTTTTTATTGACACTTTTTCTTTCTCTATTTTCTTTTGTCACTCTTTTACAAAAATAGCCATTTATTTTTATTCTTAAAAAGTATCGTACCTCATTTCAATCAACAAAATCCTTTATTCCTGATTTTTTTATTTTGTGGGTCATTTAATACACTACTTAAGTGATACAAATTTATACCTATTTTTATTTCTAAGAGTTCTGATTTTATTTTCCTAATTTCAACATATCATTTTCTTTTCCATATCATTAATGATTAACTTTGGCATTTTTTCCCTAGAATTTTCGTCAATTATCTTAAATTACTTTATGCTTACTTATTATGTCAATGAGACACGGAAGTTTCATCAATCTCATTATATGCATGAACCGTAAATCTATTATTTTTTTAAATACTAACCTAATTATGTTTATATCATGGACGTATGCAAGTTGAACAAAGTACAATGCTAATTTCAAATAAAAGGGGGGAGAAAATTTATAAGTGAGTGAAAAATTTATATCTCGCTTTTAGTTAATAAAAATTCTTCTATTATGTTGACTTATGTGTAATTTTTTTTTTTTTTTTTGCATTAAATATTAATTAAAGTATTTATTAAGGTCTTGAATAATTTATTTTTCCTTAACATTAAAACCACTTTCATATTTTATTTCAATGAATATATAGAATGCATAAAAGCAAGTAATTAGAAAAAAATATATATCATCATCATTGTATGGTATTTAGAAATTAAATGCGCTATCTAGAGCGATTGCTCTTTATGCCTTCTCCTGATAAGCCAGGGAAGCAAGGAGTCACAAATGACTCTCTAAAAGTCAACTTTACAAGCTCTATTTCTCTTAGAACATTAGTAGGTTCTTCAGAGCTTACTCATCATCCCTTATCAATGAATATGAATAAGACTGCTCATATGGGTCCGTTTTTTAATAGTGTAAGTAGTAAGCTATGGCTTTTCCCTCTTTATGGAAATCTCTCATATTTTTTTTACATTATCAAAACATACTAGAAGGGTCAGTTTTATGTTAACTCGATAGAAAGCCTATATCCCATGGTTCCCTTTTTGGAGTGCCTCTGTCAATTCCATCATGGATGAGGTTCGATCTGTAAGCAGCCTATACCGTTCAGTTAGACACGTAGATTTTATATAAAAACACAACTTAATATATTTTATATTTTCTACTATTAGATGTAACAAGATCATGAGATCATCTTTTCCATCCTAGCTCGTGCTGCTTTCTATAAAGCACAGCTTGTGCTTCCCTCTACTCGCAACTGAGCTAACATTGGTATCATACCAAAAAGTAAACTGTAATTGTAATGGGGCTTCAAAATTATCTCCTCATAGCCCTACTCAGCCTTGAAAGTGCAGTGACAAGTAATGCAACATTTTTACGAAGAAACAGCATTTCTTTGTGCATCAAATTTCTGAAACCTCTAATTTTTTGGAAGGGTATAAAACTTCAAATCCATCTTTTTTCGACTTGATCTTTTGAATAACCAAATAGATTATTAGTATTCAAGGTTTAGTTGACATAGAGACATTATTTAATTTATTTTTCTTGATATCGGATGTAAACTGGGTTGCAAATTTAATTTGTTCCTGTTCTGTTTCGTTTTTCCTTATGTTTCTTATCTTTTTATTAAGAACCTACAATCAATAGAATCTCTAGAAAGGCCATACATTTTTTTAAAAAAAATTAATGTATAAAATTCTAATTCATGACTTTTCTCAACTCTTCTTAGCAGCAAATTAAGAGAATATTAGTGATCATAGTTTAGTTGACACGGATACATCTATTTTTCTTAATATTGTATGTGAGCTAGGTTGCAAATTTAAACCTTCAGTAACAATATTTAAAAAGTTTGAAACAAACCTCCACTTAAAAAGGAAACGGTCAATCTCTCAAGGAGGCACTATCACCAAATTCATTCTTCTAAAGTCACATCAATTGGTATTTCTCATAATATTTGATTCATTTTATGTTAAAGTAAAAAATATATTATTTTTTTATGCGGTCATGTAGAACACATATCACATGATTAGTTTAATTTGCTTGAAATTGTGTAAATCCTAAACACTAAGAAACCAACTATTTTTGAAAGATTGTATTGGTTTAATAAAAAAAGGGCAGTGTGAATATGTGTATTTGAGGGGGAAAAAAATTCCCTTTTTTTTTTTGCATGCTTTGACAACAAATTTATGAATTTTCATTTTTATTTTGTTGACTATGTATATATTGTATATTGCACCTCTTTATTTCTTAATTAACTTTATATGCAATACTTTTGTAATGATACAACTCATTCATTTTAATTAATTTATTTATATATACATATTTGTTTTTTTTTTTTTTTTTTTTATCATTATACATATTAGTTTTAATTACGTGCAATTGCACGTACGATTTTCTAGTATATATATATATATATATATATATATATATAGTATGGGTTGGTAATTCTTAGGTGGTAGGCAACTTGACATTAAGAGATTAATTAAATTTAACCCCACACAACAATTTTCCCATAGCTATTGAAATAAAAAATGATACCTATTTGGCCTTAACATCCATTACCTATTGTTTGAAATTTTAAAAGCCCCCTTAAAAACAATACCTGGTTTTTCTTTTCTTTTCTTCTCTATTCGTCTCAAATTCTTTATTTGACAATACTTGATTTTTTCTATTCTCTTTTTCTCTATCAAGTCTTGAAACCTTTCCTTAGGGGACTTCAGAGTTAAAGACCCCAAACCACTAGGACAAAAGAAGACGGATAAAAAAATGTATATTTTTTCCTTTTTAACCAAGGAGCTATCAATTTGACCGGGATCATACAAGGTTGCTACAATTACCCCCTTAGGGATTAAGGTCCTCGTGGGCCACACTTTTAGTTAGGCTCTGGCTTTGATACCACATGGTATGATATCATGTGCTTTGAGTCCAAGCCTACATGATTTTGTTATTGGATTTTTACCCAAAAAGACTTGGTACCATTTGGAGATAGCACTAACAAATTTTGTTTTTCGATTCCGGTTCCTCACTAGTCCGGTTCTAGTTCAAAATTTGTGAAACCGTTGAGTAACGATTTGTTTCGGTTTCAGACCCTTTAAAACTTAGCCGAACCGAACCATTCTTGTATTTATGTCATTGCTTTTTTATTAGCTTCCAGTTTAGGCTTTTGGCTAATTAGCCCAATCCACTTTTTACTGGCTAAGAGGAACCATATGTGCTTTATTGTGGAGGTAATGCTCGGGGTTGTCGTCCATATTATCCAACCTCCGGGAAGGTGAGTGTAATTTAGACTTCGTTGTAGAATGCGGGAGTGATTGATGGGCCTAATTATTACTTGGCCCATTGAGCTTTCCTTCTTATACCCAATCAGCTAAAGGCCCAATAATTTCTTTTTTATTTGGAAATGAGCCTACCTTACAGAGCTCGAACTAGGCTTAGGGCACACTGTTCTTTGAGAATCAGAGAGAGAGAGAGAGCTCACCACAAATCTACGAAGCTCCACACTTCACAGGCAAGTACTCATCTCTACACTCTTCGGTTTGATTGATAGCATATTATATGTGTGTGTGTTTTCAAGAAATGAGGACTATTTATATCTGCAAAAGTCTTATCTCTCTTTCTCTCAAGAACACTTCACATCTAAACAAAACCCCAATATCTCTTCTCTCTCTACTCTTCATCTCTTCCTCTCCAGAAACCCCCATTACGGTGGCCTATTACTTGATTGATAGACACAAATTTTCTGTTGAAATTGCTTTGAAAGTCTCTTCCGTCGTAAAGTATGTGAAAAGGCCCGAAGAGACCGATTCGATTCTTTCATTTCTCCAGGAAAGTGGTTTTGCGGATACCCATCTCGAGCTTCTCATCAAACGCATGCCTGAAATTCTCTCTTCAAATCTTGAGCGCACCATCAAACCCAAATTCAAGTTTTTTCAAGACTTGGGTTTTTCTTCTGGCGATGTTGTGGAAATTGTTTCGTCTCACCCATGGATTTTAAGTACTAGTGTTGATAAACGGCTTGGCCCGTCGATTTTAGTATTGAAGAGTGTTTTTGGTTCGAATATGGATGTGTATGGGCTTTTAAAGAGACATGGGGGGTATTTGAAGAATGATTTGGCGAAAACTATGCTACCCAATATTGAATTTATGAAGAATTGTGGTATTAGTTTGTCGCAAATAACCCGATGTGTCTACAACTGCCCAAGATTTTTCTTGAATAAACCGACGAGAATTAGAGAAAATGTGAAGAGGGTTGAGGAGTTGGGCTTTGACACGAAGTCTAAGATGTTTCTTTGTGCAATTCGGACTATTAGTTCGATGAGTATAGAGAAATGGGAGTTGAAATTGGAGGTCTTTAAGAGTTTGGGATTTTCGGAAGATGACATTTTGTCCACTTTTAGGAGACAGCCTCAGGTTTTTGCTGGGTCAGAGAAGAAAATTAAAGTGATAACACAGCTTTTACTTAGCACGGGCAAATGTGATATCTCATATGTTGTTAATAACCCATTCTTTCTTGCCCTCAGTGTTGAGAATAACCTTAAGCCACGGCTAAGAGTTCTGTAGGTTTTGGAAAGTAGGAATTTGCTCCTTAAAAAGCCTAGTTTGGCAAATGTATGCAAGATGAGTGATAAGAAGTTCTTTGAAATATGTACTCCCATATTCAAATGAAGTTGGCCAGATATTTGTGGTTAACAAGCCCCCTCGTTGAAAGCATAAATATGTGCTTAAGATCATGACATCTTTTGGGACTTAGCATGGCAGGTAAGTAGGTACTATTTTCTTCTATCCATATGGTGTACCACTGAGAAAACCATAGATTAATTTTCCAGCTGGCAGTATAATTTCAAATGTGTTGAAATCTATGAAGCACGGACACGTGTTGTAGGGCTGACGTACCAGTGTCGGACACGTGTCCGTGTCGGACACGCATATCCCAGCCTCGGACACGTGTCCGACACGGATCTGCCGGTGTCCTATTTTTTTATTCATTTTTTCACACTGGACACGCTATAAGACACTGCCGAGACACGCCGGAGGACACGACTGTACACCGGAGGACACTGATGTAGGAAACGACAGTTCCTAGGAAGCACGGACACTCCAAAATGGGCGAAGAATCCGTGTCCGACACGGACACGCGTCGGACACGGACACGCGTCGGACACGCCCCGACGGGTGTCGGACACGCCAAAAAACGTGTCTGGAATTTTTTTATTTTTTTTAATTTTCGGACACGGCACGGACGCGGCTCGGACAGCTTGGACACGGCTCGGACATGGTTCGGACACGGCTCGGACATGGCTCGGACACACTTTTCTAGATTTTTTTTTTTTTTTTTTTTAATTTTTAATGCTGATATGCTAATTTTTTTTTTTTTTTTTTTAAAATTTTTAATGCTGATATGTTCTATTTTTTGTTTTGTACTACCCTAAAGATGCTGATATATATATATACTAACCTAAAGATGCCACAATTCGCCGTGTCCGTGTCCTAAAGATGCTGATATATATATATATACTAACATATCAGTGATATATATATATATATATATATATATATATATATATATTCCAACCTAAACATGTCAGTGTTTTTTTAAAAAAACCTAAACATGTCAGTGTTTTTTTAAAAAAATTATTAATGCTGATATATATATATATATATATATATATATATATATATATATATATATATATATATATATATACTATTCGTCGTGTCCGTGTCCTAATTTTTTTAGATTTGCCGTGTCGCCGTATCCGTGTCGTGTCGTATCCGTGTCCCGTATCCGTGTCCGTGCTTCTTAGGACAGTTCAGATTAATAATAAAAAAAAAATGGAAGGGATGAGAGAGAAATTGGAAAGGAGAGGGAAAATCAACAAAGAGATGATGATGAACTGATCATGCTCTGGTTGGTTATTGATGGAGGGGAAAGAAGATAGAAAGTTAAGAGAAGGAGGAGATGGCATCTGGCCTAGATTCCGATTCTGCTAGAGTCTCTCTCGTCTCACTGCGAACAGATCTAACCAAAGGCTTGATCGCCTTTTTCTTCCTCTGTCACTGAGTTTGGTTAATAAAAAAGGAATTCAATTTTAAAGAGAGAAAGAGTCAATTTCGAACAGATCTAACAAAAGGCTTGTTGCCTTTTTCTTCCTCTGTCAGTGAGTGATTATTGGTTAATAAAATAGAAAGATAAGATTGTGATCTTATCTTTCTGTGTTCGGTTACAAAGTTAACCTTATCTTTTGTGTTTGGTTATAAAGTTAAAACTATTCTAGTATTGATACAAATTCTAGTATTGGATATAAAGATATACTATGTATTTATTGTTTGAATTTTAATAGAATTTGAATTGGACTTAATATAAATGGATCATGTCTATATAGTGTAAATTAAAAATTAAGAGAAATTAAAATTTTATATATAATAAAAATATATATTATTATTTTATTACCGTATCCTTGCCGTGTCCGTGTCCTATTTTTTTGAAATTTGCCGTATCGCCGTGTCCGTGTCGTATTGTACCTGTGTCCCGTGTCGGTGTCCGTGCTTCATAGGTTGAAATATATCCTTAATTTAACTTTCTTCTTTTTTCTTTTTTCAAATTTTCAATTGAGGCATCATGTTGAATTATCCTGATAGGTAATAGATAATTAATGTGATCTTATTCTTCACATATAATTTTGTCATTGTGTAGAATTGTATGCTATTATAAGTTTTGTTTATCATGTACATTGGTACTTACACTAGCCATGTATGTCTGTAAGGATCTACCAATATAACCATGATTTGGGGAAGTAAGGTGCGGCTTCTTATTAGTTTAGCAGTAGGATAACTCCAACAAAAGGGAGCCTAGAGTACCTCCTCACACAGAAAATGTGACAGAACCCCCTTTTTAAGTGGAATATTTGATGTGAGAAATTGGTTGAAATTAAATTTTAAGGTTTTGTATTTTTTTACTATTATTATATTATAGTTGTGGTGGTGGTGGTGGTGGTGGTGGTGGTGATGGTGGTGGTAATAAAAGGAATTGCAAGTTGAACCTAATTTGACAAACAAAATGTGCAAAATTTTAGCTATTCTTTCATTCAATCAGGTGGAAAAAAACCTACTTTGGCAGAGCTTACACAGTCAAGATTTATTCTGGTAGGTTACACTGTTGATGAAATGGAAACATACATTTTTCATTTAATTTGTCCTTAAATACACTTGTGTATGCAGCTTCTATAATGAATTCTCCACATTTTACTTTGGAAGGTACTGAATTGAGCGATTAGACAGTGTGGTACAGCATTGTGCTGTTGCAGCGTCTGGTCCTGACTCTTAAGAGAAACACTTAAACAGACACACTGACTGGGACAGTGGCACAAAGAAGAGAATTTTATTCAAGCAGTTTTTAAGGAAGGACAAACACAGTTGATTCAAGCAGTTGAATACAATACTGCAAAACGTAAAGATATCTTTATATGTGGGGTGTGTCCTGTTTCTAAAATCATTGTCGTAGCTATAGTAGTGATCTTTATTTGCAATCCTCCTGAACTAAAAATGTCTTTGGGCAATGGTCTTTCTAAAATGCCCTCAACAAGAAACATGATGTGATGCTCACAAAACAGTATTCTCGTTCTTGACTCACCATACTTGGACGCATTTCTCTAGCCTTTGCTTGATGGGTTGAAAGAACATAGTACCTCCTCCACCAAGCAAAACTTATAATGTCAAACCACTGAAAATATTTTTGTGTAGTTTGAGAACTAGGAAAATCACTCACATAAGCACACAATCTGATAAAGAAGACATCAAGTAGTTCAATCATTTCCCACATAACAGAAGCCCAATGGACTAGACATCCCAAATAATTACTCCCTCCGTCCCATAAAAAGTGTCATATTAGGGGAACCGTGACTCACAACTTCTGAGTCATGATTCCCCAAACATGACACTTTTTATGAGACGGAGGGAGTAGTTGTAAAGCACAATTCGAAACAATCTGTTCCTTGGTAAAGTGTCTCGCACGAAATCTGGTACTTTTATTTGTTTGCTATTGCCCTGGTAACAGCTTGTCTCCTCCACCACTAAGCATAAGTTTACATCTTATATTCCCTCTCTAGATTGATTATCCCTACTCTGAAAAGAAGCCCAATGCTTCCTTCCTGCAACATGGGAAGAAAGATATTAAGTCTTAAAAAATGCATGCAGAAAAAGGGAAAATAAAATGTATAGTGACCTGAATCAGGTCTTGCAACCTTAATCCTTTGCCTTGATCATGAGTACCAATAGAGAACAACCTTGGCCAATCGCTTCATGGCTGCTCATGCCCGATGGTTTTTGTAATTGCCCTTTTGCTGCTTCCTCCCATAAATTTGCAGAAACTTCATACCTAATATGCTGAAAAATCCAAAATTACTGTCCATTGTTTCTTTATTGAAGTTATATGCTTTGGAATCCAAAATTACTGTCCATTGGCCAAAGAAATATACCATATCGGAAGCTAACTCTAGTAACTTAGGAGTGGAAGAAAACATGTAATAGACATTGAAATATATATTATATATATGTATAATATATTACTAGTATATTTATTATACTCACTTTCCTTCTTTCTTCCTTGATTTATTCCTTTTGTTTCCCATCTTTCCTTATATATATATGTATAATATATTATATGTATATTTATGTATAATATTTATATATTATATTCGGTTTCCTTTATTTCCTTCTTGATTTACTTCTTGGTATATTCCTTTTGTTTCCCTTCTTTTCTCCTTCATTTATTCCTTTTATTAACTTTATTTCCTATATATATTATGTATCAATATAATGTAAACATATATTATCAAATACTACAAGGAATAAAAGAAATTTAGGTGACTCTTAATCCATGGATGTAGGCCTTAGTGCTGAACCATGTATATGTTGTGTTATCTTTCTCTCTTCCATCTTCATATTTTATATGTTATATTTCCGCATCATAAACTTAACATGGTATCATAGCAACAATCCTAAATCGTTTGCACCATCACGGGCCGACGCTCCTGCAAAGTAGATCTGACTCGTGCATCACTGCCCATTGATCTCACTCGCTACACGCGCCCACGCGTTCCTCCTTCACCGATGGTAGTCAACCCTCCGAATCGGTGACCGATTCACCATAGTTTCAGTTCCAGTCACCGTTAGCAACACCTCTCATGCTGGCGACTTCATTCTTCCACTACAGCTACCATTTTTCTCTTTCCTTGGTTGGTTTCCACCACCCAAAAAAAAAAAATTTGGGTAGTGTTTGCCTTATTTTACTAGGTTTGTTTTTGGTGGGTTTCTTGGGTGAATTTGTGGTTTGTTGAAAAGAAAGAAAAAAAAAAAAAAAAAAAAAGGGGGGGGGGGGGGGGGGGGGGGTTGGGGGCCTTAGTTCTGGCCTTTTGTTGGTTTTGTTCCGGATCTTTTTCATTTCTCAAATGGATTACCCGGATGTCTCCTAATGTTGCTCCAGCCCATTTCTCGTCTTTGTTCCGGCCCATTTCTCGGCTTTGTTCCGACCCATTTCCCCGGCGTTGTTCCGACCCATTTCC